AAAGCCTGAAACAAAAGACTCTTAGAAGGAAGCAGGATAAAGGTTCTGACACTGGGCCAGACAATTATTTCTTTTGGCACCAAAAGCACAGGCAACATGAAGCAAAAATAAAATGGGATCACATCAAACTAAAAAGCTGCTGCACAGCAAAGGGAGTCGTCGTCAAAGCAAAAAGGCAACCTATGGAGTGGGTGAAAATATTTGCAGACCATTTATCTGATAAGGAGTTAGTAGCCAACGTATATAAAGAACTCCTATATCTCAACAGCAATAAAACCAAGCAATTGAATTTAAAAAATAAGACCTTTTCTGGCCAAAAGACAATTCCTTCTAAAGAAGACCTACAAATGGCCAACAGGTATGTGAAAAGGTGCTTCATGTCACTAATCCTCAGGAGAAGGCAAATCAGAACAACAGTAAGTTATTGCCTCCTTTACGGTTGGTTATTAGATCTATAGAAAAAAATAACAATGGACAAGTCTTGGGGAAAGTGGGGAAAACGATGCTCTTGGTGGTGGGAAAGTAAATTAGTACAGCCACTATGGAAAACAATGTGGAGGTTTCTCAAAATACTAAAACTAGAATTAACATTTAATTCAGCTGTGGAGAGCAAGATGGAGTCACTCATGTCAAGCAGGGACCTAAGCAGCCAAGGGCATAGCAGCTAAGACCTGTTATCACCAAAACCTGCACAGGCTGACGGCACCCAGAACTGGTAACCTTCAAAGCCAAGAGAGCCTGGAAGAACTGAGCGCTGGTAATCATGAGAACCAGAAGAAGTCTGCAAAGGCCCAAAGCTGATTAAACCCCTTTAAGAAGGGATGGTTTCAGCAGCATGCATCACCTATTGTCGGACTGTCAGACTCTTGATGTGTACTCTTCCACATCTGATGGCCCTAAAGAGGCAACCGCTGCTTAAGGCTCTGCCCAACTGGTCTGTGAACATAGTAAAGATTCTCCACTGCTTGAGCAGAATAAGCAGTGAGTGCCGAGAGCTGACCGGGAAGCAGACAGGGTCCTTACCTCAGGGAACACTCATAGACTGACCTTGGGTTTGCTTTGTTAACTTCTTATGCCTCACCGTATCTTCTTTGTTGTGTGACTTCACGTTGTAGTTGGTGCGATGTGTACGAAGCCAAGTTGTAGGTCATTGAGTCCGGAATCTTGAGTCGGCTTTATAATTAAGTTAACCTTACTTCATGACTGAATAAAGCTGCCTTGGTGGAAGGACACAATTTGTGTAAGTGCCTTCATAGTGTACAGGGGATGCCAGCAATCTTATTTCTGGGTGTATATCTAAAGGGGTTGAAATCTAGCTCTTAAAGAGCTCTCATCTGCATTCCTGTGTTCACTGCAGTATTATTCACAGTAGCCAAGCTTGGCCAACATCCTAAATGTCAACAGGCAAATGGGTACGGAAAACATGGTAAAGATGGACAACGTCCCATTACTCAGCCTTCAAACAGGGTGTCCAAATAGACCTTGAGAGCATTCTGCTAAGTGAACTAAGCCAGACAAAGAAGGACAAATACTGCATGGTCTAACTTACAATAGACTCATAGGGGGTGCCTGGGTGACTTGGTTAAGAGGGTGATTCTTGACCTCAGCTCATGATCTCGTGGTTTGAGTTTGAGCCCCTCATGAGACTCTACGCTGACAACATGGAGCTTACTAGGGATTCTCTCTCCCTCCCTCCCTCCCTCCCTCCCTCCCTCCCTCCCTCATTCTCTGTCCCTCTCCGTTGTCCCTCCCTCTCCATTTCTGTCTCTCTCTCCAATAAACAAACTTAAAAAAAAAAAAAAAGACTTAGCAGAAATCAGAATGGCAGTTGCCAGTGGCTGGGGTAAGGGACAATGGAGTGTTGGTTTCTTAGTCTTCCATTTTAAAATTACTGTGAGTACTGAGTAAGGCAATAGGGTGTAAAAGAAAAAAAAAAAAAAGTCCTTGGCACAATGCCTAGCTCCTAACTTGCATACAATAAATGTTAAAGAATTTAGTTGTGAAATCAGCATAGACCTGAGTACTTTCAAGCCTATTTATTTTCAATGTTATGTTAAAAATTTTTTTTCATGTTTATTTACTCGGAGGGAGAGAGAGAACAGTGGAGGGACAGAGAGGGAAACCTAGAACCCAAAACAGGCTCCAGGCTCTGAGTTGTTAGCACAGAGCCCAATGCAGGTCTTGTACCCATGAACCGTGAGGTCATGATCTGAGCCCAAGTTGGCCACCCAGGCGCCCCCCCCCACCCCCTCATTCCAGCCTATCGAAAAGCAGACCAGACGAGAAAATCCTAAGCATTGGCAACATGGCCAGACTGGGCAGCTGCAGCAGATGGCGTGAACGCTTGGAACAAGTTAGAGTTCAGGCAGCGACACAGATCCTAACGCATTTTCCGACTTAGTAGTAAAACCTCAGAAAAATGATGGTTCTTACAAAGGTTTTAGGGGCCCCTGGGTGGCTCCTTTAGTGGAGCATCTGACTTTGGCTCAGGGCATGATCTCATGGTTGGTGGGTTCGAGTCCCACATCGGGCTCTGTGCTGACAGCTGAGCCTGGAACCTGCTTCGGATTGTCTCCCTCGCTCTCTCTGCCCCTGCTTGCGTGCTCTCTCTCTCTCAAAAATAACTAAAATCTTTTTGTTGTTGTTTTAATGTTTATCTAGTAGTATCGTCAAAACCACCCAGCGATCAGGAGTTGTCTATGCATGATTTTCCTTTGTGTAATAAGATGCTGTGGCTGTGAATGTTGCCAGACGTGTGACCCATCATTCTATCCAAACCGTGTAGATAAGACTATCTTCTGCTGCAGCTACTGAAAGCACAGAAGTTGCTAGGGTGGCCAGACCATCCTTTGTTTCGCTACTCTATTTATAGCTGTGCTCTAGTATAGGCCACAATGGCTCAGTGACCTGCATTTGATCCCACGGTCAGCATTTCCTCGAAGAATCATGGTCACTGTAAGATTTGTCTTAATTTCATTGATTTGGGTTTGAGGTTACCAGTAGCACTTATAAGGCTACTTGGCCAGTAGTTAGGTACAAGGACGCTTAAGTGTAGCCCCAGGGTCCTAACAGCCATCCTTCAGTCAGGAGTGACTGAAACAGAGCTTATTTCATATTTGTGTAATGGCTTGACGTTAGTAGTTCCAGAACAAATAACACCCTATGTCTACCAGGTGGCAGGTGCTGTGAAAGCTGCTGATCACTTTTACTCTCAATCGGTAATTCTGTTTCAATGAAATAAGAGCCTTGAAGGAAAATACCCTCTGGCCGATGCGTGATGATCTGGCTAGCGTCTGGGAAAGATTGTTAATGGTGAACAGACGATGGTTAGGGGGGGCTGTTCCGGAGCCAGCGAGCACCCACGGCAGAGGAGCGTCCGTGTTCACAGCGCCGATATCGGCACAGGGGTTGAGAAAGCGGGACTTGGCCTCCCGGTGTGGCGCTCTCCTGCTGTAGGGCTGACGGGTGGAAACCAGCAGGGACACCCCTAAGTGGGGCATCCCCAGGTATCGGCAGTGTGGCGAGCCCAAGATATGGAGACTCCAGACCCATGTTCCCAAATGTCTTGCATGCCTCCTCAACCCTCTGTGCAGTTGAGGGAGGAACGTGGGCAGAATTCAAGCAAGTCCGTCATGGGGACTCCGACCCTGGGGAAATCCTATCCACAGCAACTGACAGGACATCCGGTGGGGAAAAAAATCCCTAATGGTCATTCTCCTCAGTGTTGTCATTGTAGCAGCCCTGTTACATCCTACCCTCACTACTTCTGCCCAGAGTGTAGCTTTGAAGCTCATCTTAGCAGAACTGTGGCCACCCACGAATTTCCTATGTCTCACGTGTTGAAGGTTTCCATTTGCTTCATCCCTAGGAAGCCACTCTGATGACCTCCCATTTATAGGCTTTTAGACAATTTGTCTGTGGTCTTTCACCGTGGTCCTCACACTCCAGTGTGCATCAGAATCACCTGGAGGATTTGTTACAACTTGGACGGATGGGCTTGGCCCAGACTGGCATTTGGTAGGCCTGGGCTGGGCATTTGAATCAGGTTGAGGTGATGTCGCCAGGCCAGGGACATTTTGAGAATCACTGGTCTTGTGGAAGTAAAAACAACAAAAACCCTTGTAACCCATCTGACTCCGTGCTGGAGTCCTGTGATAGCTGATCTCTAATCACAAAAGATTTTCATAGCAACTCTAAGTGTCTCCCATTGACTAAAAATCTATACTAGATTCAAACACTTAGATGAACCCCAATTCTTAAAACGGAAGTTTCATGGATTAAAAATATCTGTGAACGCTCCCACCTACAGCCACCTGCTACCCCCCACGGAAACCTCAGTCAGCAACCTAAACCTTCCAAAAGATAGCTTTTGCTTCACTTAGCAACCTCGTGTATTACTACTCAGACCATTTCAAAAGTAAAATACGCAGTAGTCTTAGGTTGTTGACAAGATTACTACAGAACCCAACTAGAGATAACCTTGATGGGTTTTTTGAGGTTCAAAGTGATTTAACGCTAAATCAGAACATTGTTCTGAGAAGTACTCTAAGGAAGTGCTCACGGTCAAGGAAGTTTGGCAAATGTGAACCACCGGGATATGCAGTGACTTAAGGCGCATACGAAAGATGGGCGTGATTTCCCATGACCCGGTTTTCCTTCGCACCTGGTCAGATCCTGGTGCTCTAGAGGATACTGGCTGTACCTTGCTTTTAGAAAGCCGGGAGGATTACCGAACATTTGTAAGTGAGACGGTCTGTATCAGGAGACAGAAAAACAAAACTTCCACATGAGTAGTAACTCTACTTCAATTAAATCTTTCCTATGTCTTAGTTTCTTTCCACTTAGTTTTTTCTAGAGGTGGGAGGCAGGGGGAAATTGAGATGACTCAAGAGTTAGAGTCAGTCACAGGACCTGTACAGTGGTACAGGAGCCTGGCAAAGAAAGGCCCTGGTAACCGGGGGGGTGGGTGGGTAAAAATGCTGCTGACGCGTTCCTTGTAGCACAATTCAAGTTTATTCCATTTGTTCTTGCAACACAAAACTTAAACACAGTATTATTTAGCATTCGGATGTACATGGACTAGGATAATATGAGAAACCCAACTGTGTCAAAAGTATTACATTGTGGGGGAAAAAACGAACTCAAATATATCAAAATGCACAAAGCACTAGTCTTCCTCCATTACTGCTTAGAAAGATATGATTGTTTCTCCATTTACAAAATAGAATCAGGACGATTTAAATTCTTAAAATTTTGCATGCAAAACACTGCAATTGCTTATGTAGGAGGGCACTCTCCCCAGCTTCTTCTATACACAATCGAGTACACAATATTGCATGAAGTAAAGAGCAGCTCAGTTGAAGTTTTAGGAAAAAAAAAAAAAAGTCAGTACATAGAGATTTGAGGATCCATTATTGAGGGGAAAGAAATCAACGAGGAAAGGGCCTTACTTGCCTGCAGCTCGCACCCACTGTACCCAACTACCTCTCCTCTGTGCCCCACTGGCTGTGGAAGGTGAGCGACGCATAGAGAGCTACTTGGGGATTCTCGGGTGCTGTGCACCAACTCTGGGTCTGTGGATGCAGGTCCGAAGCTGCGAGGGCGAATTTGTTAGTACACTACCGTGAACAGGCACACCACCTGTTTTTACTTGATCTAGTGCATACAAAATGACTCCATACAAAACTACAGAACATGCAAGGTTTTTCTTGAGATGTTAAATATTCAGTGGAGAACAAAACTTAACCTTCTACTAATGCATGTAGTACCAAAAAGCAGACATGATTTTAGCTTCCTTTACTCAAAAAATGAACATTAAGTGTTGTGAATTTCTCTGCCAAGTGGTTCAGAAATACATTATAAATAAACTAGTTAAAAAAAATGGTCAACCATCTTGGCCAGTCTATTCTATGTTTATTTCTCAAGCAATTGCTCCAAAACCATGGGGCTTCTGAAATGGCTGAGAAAGAAGAGGGAAGGCGGGGTAGCCTCTACTGCACTACAAGAAACGCAGGCTCAACTGTACAAAGAAGCACATGGTCTCCACACCTGATGACGGGAGAGAGCAGACCAGGTTTAGGAACGATAGGACAGTGCACTCTCTGCAACAGCCAACTACCACAGGTTTGAAAGGAAAGGTGAAAATTCTAGAGGGTAAAATCCAAGCCTTTCCATAGCATTCTGCCAAGAGGTGAAAACAAAGATACCAAAACACCTTGTTGCTACCAACTGATAAAGTGCCCTCCATCTTCAATGAGGATAGGTCTGTTTCTGCTCAGTGATGTTATAAAGTACTGTTTACTGACTTTGACTCCAACGCGAATAGGCTGCGTTAAGAGTTGAGAATTAGCCAAATATATCAAAGTATTTAAACCACCATTTTGTTTGTGATTGTTTTCTTGGATGCAGGAAAATTACAGGGTTAGGTTAGTTGTAAGCATAAAAGCCACAGGATTAAAAAAAAGTCCACGGGGGAAAAATACACACGCACGCATGCACGTGCATGCACGAGAGCGCACGCACACACACCCACACACACACACCCCCCCACACACACACCCATAAATCCACACCCTAACAAACCAATCAGCAATCGATCAGTAAGATTTGTTATTAGCTGGCTATTCTTGATAGTAGTTTAACCCTGTTTTAGACTGCTACATTACCTTAAAAAATCATCATGAATTCTTTGTTATCCACAATCTGAATAGAAGTCCCTAACCCAACCCCCCCCCTTTAAAAATTTGAGGTACATTCAATTATTGCATGATTTGGCTAAGGAAAAAACCCTAACATTTTTAGCAAGCTTTTATGGATGGCAAGTCAAAGGAATCAATACTTTAAATGCAGGATAGCAAATTTAAGGGTATATGTTTTAATTACTTGCACTGCTCATGGAATAAACCTTGGAACATGTGTCTGAATACTTCCTGCAGGTCTTAACACCCATTTTAGGGCACTGCATTTTAAGAACACGGAATACATTTTGCAGATGTCACACTTAATGTGATGAATGGTTTAGAAAACAAAAATAGATCATGTAGGTGGGTTGGCAGATGTTCAGCAGAAGCCTATCGACAACTTGGGGAAACCTGGTAACAAGCGTATTTTTGAAGGGACGGGGCTCAACTTGTCCAGATTGTAAATCTCACCCCAGTGACAGCTTTGGTGCAGTGAGCAATCAGCATCCAAGGTGGCTCTGAGAGAGGATTTCCAAAGACTGTTCCTTGATTCTCCAAACATAACCGAGGCCAATCCATTCAAAGAGCAAATGAAGAAACTCCGTAGGTACTAAGACAACTGTTCTCTGCATGACACTCACAGGCTATGGCTATGACTCTATGTTTAAATCCCCTTTTACTACCAGCAGGAGTTTGAAAGTGTTTGCTCTAAAAACGTCTGAATCTAGAGGAGAAAAAAAAATATGCACACTGGAATGATTTCTCCTTTAGGCTTCCAAAATTTAAGATTTTATAAATAAAACTAGTCAGTTTTATCTAAAGACACATGACACCCATGTGAAAGGGGAGAGGAAATCCAAAGTTGAGTCATCCAGCAATTTAGGAGTGTGCCCCCTCACCTTAACTGAGCTCCCACGTAAAGCTGAAAGTCGCCGAGGGAAGATTTGGTCGCCGACCACGGGCAGCGCTCTGAACTCCGCCAGGAGGCCCCCAGGAGAGTGCGTCTTAAGGCAGAAGGCTAGAGCCGATTGCTGATCTCAGCACCCAGAGTTACGTCACAGCAGCCGCCGCTGCTCGCACAGTTAGGGCTGCACACACGGAGAGCTGGCCTTGGGATAGTCAGACCCTCGACACAACCTAACGAATAAACTAGCTAGGGAGCTGAAAAGGTCAAATGTTACTGGCGTATTTTGTCTTGGCTCTCCCTTGGGAATGAGCGGTATATTTTGTTGGAAATGGAAAAGAGACGGACTTGATCAGGAATCCGAGTAAAAGCCTGATCACGGTTTTCTCCTCTCTTCCAAAACATGTTTTTTTCTGGTAGTCTGATTTGTTATGAATTTCTCTCTCCCCTCACCCCTCGTAAAGTATTTAGCTGAAGAAGCTGGCAGATAGAGAGTGACAGACAGACAGGCAGCAGTGTGAGGCCACAGGAGAGCCCTTCTTCCAGAGCTGTCAGCCCATCCGTCCATCACTGAAGAAGAGCTTTGATTGCCTGGTTGTCAGTGGCTTCAAAGGCAGTTAGTCCATCTGGACCTTTCACAGACTTATCAGCACCCTGAAAAGAGAGGCAAGAGCGTTAATTCTAAATGAGTGCACCGTGACAGAAGAGAACTCCATTACCTGCACAGGCTAATGTTTATGTCCAGAATTAATAATCCCCAAACTAATGGAGTGCCTTCTACTGAAGAACCCCCGCCCCCCCAAGTACTTGGCTAGGTTGTAAGATTAAGTGGTAAAAATACCAAATTATTTTTTGGGCACTACGAACTGTAATTACAAACACAACTTGCCAAGAACAGGCAATGACTGCCTTTCATTTTATACTACCATGCACCCATTAAGCTTTAAAAGATCATCTCTGTCTATAAATATACAACAGTGGGGAGGGGAGCTGGGTGGCCCAGTTGGTGAAGCAGCTGACTTCAGCTTAAGTCATGATCTCATAGTTTCTGAGTTCGAGCCCCAAGTTGGGTTCTCTGAAGGGAGTGCAGACCTTGCTTTGGATCCTCTGCCCTGCCCCCTCCCCCCTTGCTTGTTCTCTTTCTCTCTCTCTCTCTCTCAAACAAAAACAAAAATGGGGGAATCACTTTCGCTAAAGAAGAAAGTATTACTGTGACAAAATTGTTTTTCTTTGTAACACTTGTGGAGAGTGCATGAATATGGCACATTTCTAAAATCCAGAGCTTACAAAGCATTTATTTTAGACACAATCCTAAAGAACACTGTGTAATATTGGTCATTATGTTTACAAAAACTGAGCAGTAAATGACTGCTATGTGGGCTACGGAAGAGGTCCCTTGTGTACCCTAGGGAAATCCTCTCCAGCCTGTGCCAAAGCTTTACCTGGAGAGTGTGGCTCTGGAATATTTCACTTGCAACATGGCATTTCAGTTTTGAGACTACACACACACACACACACACACACACACACACACACACACACACCTTTGTGTCTGTTGTTTTAGCTGCTTTACTAGAATGAAGCTCCGTGGGAGGGTGAATCCATCTGTATTCGTTACCGCTGGGTTCCCAATACCTACAAAAGTGCCAATCACCTGGGGGGTGAATTAGCTCCCAAGCCAGGTTGGAACTTTTTAAACTCCCCGAGACCCCAATATTCCACCATCCAGGGGTTCTCCTCGCTAGTTACAGCCCCAACCAGTGTTGTCATCAACCAGCCTCTAGCGTCTCACCTTTCTCCTCCTGCCAAATGTCCACTGTTCCTCTGTAAGACCTACAGAATTCTCTAAACTTGGTAGAAATGGTCACTTAGAGACCAACTCTAGTCAAGCCCAGGGGTCTCTTCTCCCATTTATGTCTCACTGCTCTAGTCGTAGGGCCCCCTCATCATGTCGTTATACATCTTGGGTTCTATACAAGATGCCTTCCCCCTTTGCTCGGACAGCCACTCACTCATTCAACAAATATTTAGGGAATGTGTAGACACTTTGTTAAGGAGCAGGAGAATCAAAGAAAACCAAGATAGTCTGGCAGTCTGACTAGTGGGAGACAGACACATGAACCACCGTGACAGAGGGGACAAGAATAAGAGTGATCTGTTAACCACAATGGGATGTGCTAGGAGGATGTAAGGGAAAAAGGTTTCTTGGAGGAGGTAATGCTTGAGCTGAGTCTCGATGAATCAGCACAAGTTGATTAGGTAAGCCAAGAAGGAGATGGCATTCTAGGAAGTGTTAGTTAAATTGTTGTAAAGTCCTCCCCAATACGCTTGTAACAGTTTCTGTTTCCTCATTTTGTACTTGAACTTAACCGCTTGGCGGAACAAAGCTGAACTCCTAGTCAACTGGGAGAGAAACGTGTGGGTGAGAACTTCGATGGGGTAAGTCCTCCACAGGTTGTGCGGCAGTAATTGGGACCGCTCTGCTCAAACCGTCTCCCTTCCCAGCTGCTTTCATGATTAGCATTATAAACTATAATCGGGCACTAACAAAAAGTTAAATATTATAGCGAACATCTGTTGCGTTTTAGCGGCCAGAGTTCATTTCCCTTCTTCTGAAAACAGCATCCGGATTTCATTTTGGGGAATCCTGTGTCCCCACTGTGTGGAGTCCTGGGACTATGTAACTCAAGGTGCCATGTACTTTCCTCACCGTGGAGTGTCAAAGATTTACCTGACACACGCAGGACTCTCACTTCTGAATTCTGAATCTTGACTGGAGATCAAAAGAGAGACTAAAAAGAGCTCACTTCTTGGGTGGCATAACCCGAAAGAGACCACTGAGGACTTCCTGCCATCTTCCGGCCCCGGTGAGCCTGGTCCTGCAGCTTTCCTGTTGGTTCTGGACTAGTCTTAAAAAATGCCTGATATCTACCTGTTAATTTCTGCCATTTGCAACAACAAAAAAATCTAGCTGACTCACCGAAGTCACTTTCCCCCCCTAATTTTGACTCATCACAGAACTCAGAATATACAAAAACCCAAAAAACTCATAAGTCTGTAAGACACTTTTGTTAACATTTTACTGTTTGTCTACACTTTTGTTCTAAAAATAAGCATATGCTGAAAACGTAT